AGAAACTGAAACGATTAAATGAGAAGCTGGGCATCGTGGACAAGCAGCCATCTCCAGAGGAAATTAGAGAAAGGGAGCGAGAAAAAGAACGGGAGCGGGAGAAAGAACTTGAAAAAGAACAAGAACGGGAGCGGGAGAAGGAAAGGGAAAGGCAACAGGAGAAGGAGAGAGAACTGGAGAGAGAGCAGGAAAAACAAAGAGAAATGGAGAAGGAAAAAAGGCAAGAAAAAGAGAAAGAACTAGAACGGCAGCAGGAAAAGGAAAGAGAACTAGAACTGCAGAAGCCAAAAGAGCAAGAAAAGGAATGGGAGTTGGAGAAGAAAGAAAGGGAGAAAGTGGAGGAAAAAATTGAACATAAAGAACCTGCTTTAGAACCTGTGGTAGAAAAAACAGAAAATGAGAACTGTAATAAAGGTATAATAGCCTCATTTATTCTTATATACACTTTACAAAATGCTTCACGTTACTCAAAGTGTTGATATCTGTATATGTTAATGTGTGTAATCTGATTTTAGAAATCTAAAATATAATTTCATGTGTAATCTAAAAAACAAAGGTTGTGGGGTTTGGGGGTTTTTTGTGGGGGAGAGAAATTAACTTTCATTAGATGCTTTAATATATTGTTTCCCTAATTTTTTTCTTGTGGTTAAATACATGTGACATAAAAGTTAGCATCTTAACCATTTTTAGGTGCACAGTTTAGTGCTATTAATACATTCATAATGCTGTGCAGCCATCATCACCATCCGTCTCCCGAACTCTTCATCTTGCAAAACCGAAGCTCTGTACCCAGTGAACAATAGCTCCCTTTTTCCCTCTCTCCACAGCCCGTGGCAACCATTCTACTTTCTGTCTCTCTGATATTGACTATTCTAAGTACCTCATATAAGTGGAGCCATACAGCATTTGTCTTTGTGACTGGCTTATTTCACTTGGCATACCAACCTCAAGCTTAATCCATATTGTAGCGTATTATAAGAATTTCCCTTTTTTTAAGGCTTACTATATGCCACATTTTTCTTATCTACTCATCTGCTGGTGAGCACTTGGATTGTTTCCATTTTATGTGCCTATTTTGAATAATGCTGCTGTGAATGTGAGTGTACAGAAATCTCTTTGAGACCCTGCTTTTATTTCTTTTGAGTTTATACCCGTTTTCTAGAATGAATATGACTATGGTCTTCTTTGGGATGAAAATTTTTCTTTTTGGTATGTGTATGGTTCTCCTTTTGTGTAATCATACTTGACACCCTTTACATAGAATAATGATTTATGTTTGAAGATAGTGATCACTATGTTATCATCAGACTTAAATTCATTCTTTTTCTTTATAAATAATAGTCCCTTGATTAAAAATATATCCAATGCATTTTATTTTAAGTATTTATAGGCTGTCTGTGTTTCCACGTAATTTCTTGGGAACGATAAGTAAATGTTGATAGTAACATTAATATTTATTAAACCATGGAAGATAAGAGGTGTTTGAAATGTTTTACTGTCACAGAAAATCATACAGATTTTTATATAGAGAAGCATTTGGACCTCTGATCTCAGTATTAATAAGAATCCATCTTTGAGGAAATCAAAGGTTTTATTAATCAAACGTTACCTCATTGATGGCTATCAATATTAGAATGCAAAACAGTCTTTTCGAGTATTGGGGATGATTTTATCTTCGTTTTCTTTTTAAATATAGCTAATAATTTCACTTTAGCACAAACATGTATTTGATAAGTGTTATAGATAAATTATCATTATCTTTTATCTTTTCTTTGGGCAGAGGATGACCCGGTTTTCACTAGACAAGACAGCAATCGCAGTGAAAAAGAATCCACACAAGTGGCACATGAAACAGAACCAGAATCAGGGTCTCAACCCCGGCCTGCTGTTTTATCTGGTTATTTTAAACAGTTTCAGAAGTCTTTACCACCACGATTCCAGCGGCAGCAGGTAACAATAAAAACGTTATCATGTACAATTGAAAAAGTTTATTGTTCAATAGTCTGAGAAATAATTTGACATAAAACCTATGATACATAAAGCACACTGGTTTTGCTAATTCTTGCCCATTTTAAGAATAGTTCGTTAATACGGATTTTACCTTGAACTTCTGTCATTCCTTTTTCATCTGCCTCCTTTATAGACACCACCTCCCTTTCTAGGGAATGGTTTCTGCGATACAATTAATGAGTGATTAGTTGCTTAAATCATGATCCCATAACTTGTCCTTTGTTCCTTTGTTTTGCCATCTTTTGCTGTTAAATGGCTCTTAATTCTTTTCCTAGAATTATTCCAAATGTCCTATTATTTCTATTTGATTGGTCATATTAATGTTTCTGATGGAAGTAGAATCTCAAGCTGAGGGGCTCTGCTATTTCAGGAACAGATGAAACAGCAGCAGTGGCAGCAGCAGCAGCAACAAGGTGTCCTTCCCCAGGCGGTCCCTTCACAGCCATCTGGGGCTGCCGTCCCTCCTCCGCCACACCGACCTCTGTACCAGCCCATGCAACCCCACCCTCAGCACTTGGCTTCCATGGGCTTTGATCCAAGGTGGCTCATGATGCAGTCATACATGGATCCTCGAATGATGTCAGGTAGACCTGCTATGGATATGCCTCCCATTCATCCTGGTGAGTTCAAATCCCCATTGTTGCATGGCTCACTTGTAGTTATGCAGGTTCAAAGTTTTTCATTTTTTACTTCCATTTTTAGTCTTAATTCCTCTAAGAACTTAAAAGGACTGCTAGATTTTTAATCATAAAATTAGATAACTTGCTTTTAGCTGAGAGTAGTTAAATGCCAGACACTAGTAAGACCAAATTCCTCTAGCTATTTTCTGTTTTGTAAATGTTATTTAAAGTTTTTAAGATGGAAAATTACTTTCATTAACAATATCTATTTGCTACATTGTTTCATTCTTTTGTTGTAGCTTTGAATTTTTCCATATATTATATATTCCATCTTAGTTTTTTCCAACATTTATCAGCCTAACATTTGTTTCATTGTAGTTTAGCTAAAAACAAAAGAATTAGCAGCCTTTCATGGAATCTATTGAAATAAATCCAGGCAGCCCATTATCAAAATATTGAGGAAAATTTATAAATGATAAAAACATGATCAAGAAATCCCATTGTGATATTGAAATTTTAAAAGGCACAATTAATAGCAAATTGATCAGCTAATTAAACTAGATTAATATTTTTCTATAGAATATATCTTGTCTGAAGTTTTTACTATTGGTGTGATTCTCCTTATGTTTGTATTAACATGCATAGAATTATAATGCTTGTCATCTGATTATATTTGTTTACTAATGGTAAAATAGGCTGCTATTGTGGTTTTGCTTGCTTTGTTTCCTCAGTTCTTAAATATATTTATTTAATAGCTATGAAAACCTCACTCATGAAAAAACATAATTGCCAGTAATCATTTGTTGAGTTCATTAATTTTATGGCAAAAAGTATTTGTTTAGCTTGAGTATATCAAGAATACCAAATAGCAATTAATAACCTACATTCTGTGTCTCTAATGTTTTTGTTTATTTCATTTCTCTCCCTCCCACCCGCGACCCCCATCTTTTTCTGACCTTTTGTGCAGGAATGATTCCTCCTAAGCCTTTGATGAGAAGAGACCAGATGGAAGGTTCAGCCAACAGTTCTGAGTCATTTGAGCATATAGCTCGATCTGCAAGAGATCATGCGGTTTCCCTCTCTGAGCCTCGTATGATGTGGGGGTCAGAGGCCTATCCTCATACGGAGCCTCAGCAGGCCACTGCTCCTAAGACAGCAGAAGAACCTGAAGGTGTAAGGTAATTATGAAAACTGTTCATAAACCCAATAGAATATTGTGGTGAAACCAATACTGTTTAGCATCCCTGAAGGTCATTCTGATTCAGGACTGAGCCACAAACCTGATAGCCTCCCATTTTGTGTGTCATTTCATTTTTGGACATATTTTCTTTTTTCTGGCATTTCTGTATTGATTAGGGCTTTTGTAAACTAGTTCCGTACTCTGAATTAAATGCTGAAGTTCAGTACATGTTAAAATTGGCATGTTTCTACCAGTGATAAGGTACTTGACATACAGTTTCACTAAAGTGTTGATGTAATTCTTCCACTAATGAGAAATGGCAGACATTTAATTATCTTATGGATGTTTTCTAAGATCAATCTAAAACACAATCTAATTCAAAGAAACTTTGAAGTAGCAGACAGTCGGTGGTCTATATAAACTTATACCCATAAAGTTAGTATTTCTGCCCTTTGTATATTATGATTTTTATAATTCTGATTCTTTGGGAAAGGTAGACCTACTCAAGGTGGTAATAGGTGGAAATTATCAGTCTTGATGTGTTAAAAAGTCCTATCAGCACAGTCTAAAGGAATGAACTTTAATGTTTTTTGTGGGGAAAACATAACAAAATTTTAGGTATACAGTACAACGTTGTACAGTATGTATAGCAGAGCAGAACTCAAGAACTTAACTCTTCTTGCCCAACTGCAGTGTACACCCATTTAGTAGCAACTCCTCATTCCTCCTCCCTTTGAGTCCCTGGCAGTTACCATTCTGCTTTCTGCTTCGATGAGTTTGATTACATTATATACTTCATGTAAGTGGGATCATTACGTATTTGTCCTTGTTGTGACTCTTTCACTTAACACAAAGTCCTCATCCATTAGAGGCCCAGTGCATGAAAATTCATGCGCTCAGCGGGCGGGGGCGGGGGGGGTGGTCTCTCAGCTCTGCCTGCACTCTGGGACCTCTTGGGGGATGTCCACCTGTTGGCTTAGGCCTGTTCCCCGGGGGATCGGGGGCCTAAGGAGGCGGGAGAGGCTCCCACTCACCACCTCTGCACTCGCAGCCATCAGCCCAGCTTGTGGCTGAGCGGAGCTCCTCCTGTGGGAGCACACTGACCACCAGGGGGCAGCTCCTGCATTGAGCATCTGCCCCCTGGTGGTCAGAGTGCATCATAGTAACCGGTTGTTCCACTGTTAGGGTCAATTTGCATATTACCCTTTTATTTATATAGGATACTGTATTTTCTTAACTCAGTCATCTGTCAGGGACGTTTAAGGTGTTTCTCCCTCTTGGCTATTTTTGAATAACATTGCACTAAACCTTATAGAGACATGAAGATGCTGTTTATGATTAGGATCCATTGTTTGCTTTAAAATTAGAGGCTTTATTTTGCTATGCACTTACATGTGTGAAAGATTTTGTCTTGATGGTTATGCTTTTGAATTCTCTTTATGCTAGGTCTGAAGCCACGCTGGATCAGGAACCGATCACTGCTGCTTATCCTGTAGAACATAGTCAGTTAGAGGCCCATCCAAAGGCAGACTTTGTTAGAGAATCAGGTGAGGCCGAAGTACAGAAGGTTTTAAGCAGGTCTGTGGAAGACATTAAACCTCCCCACTCTGACACAGTCAGTCAGTCTGCTTGCTTTGATGTTCCTGATCAGAAGACTATATCCACTCCTCAAGAAGAGCGGATTTCATCGGGAGAAAATCAGCCTGCCCGAAAAAGAAGCGTATCCCATGGATCTAACCATACTCAAAAATCAGAGGAGCAAAGAAACGAGACATCTGCCAGCATTCCTAAAGTAACCAGCAGGGGCATTGATTCAAAAGAACCAGCAGAAAGGTCAGAGGAAAAACCAAAAAAAGATGGCTTTCTACGATCTTCTGAAGGACCAAAACCAGAAAAACTGTATAAATCTAAATCGGAAACTCGTTGGGGCCCGAGGCCAAGCTCCAGCAGGAGAGAAGAAGGTAATGACAGGCCTGTGAGAAGGTCAGGTCCCATTAAAAAACCTATCCTTAGAGATATGAAAGAGGAACGAGAGCAGAGGAAGGAGAAAGAAGGAGAAAAAGGAGAAAAGGTCACTGAGAAGGTTGTAAAACTGGAAAAAACTGAAAAGAAAGATCCTCTTCCTCCACCGCCACTACCCGCAGCACCTATTCAGCCACAGGCCGTTCCACCACCACCTCAACCAGAACCAGAGAAATTTCCTTCAACAGAAACTCCAACTTTGGTGCAAAAGCCACCTCCAGACACTGAGAAGCCTTTGGAACCTGTAAGTAGTGCTGAGATAGAGCCTGCAACTAAAACTGTAAGTCAGACTGTAACAGCACCAACAGTTAAAGAAGAAAAACAACCTGAGAAAGTTGTCAGCAAAGACCTTGTCACAGAGAGGCCTCGGTCAGATTTAAGGCCAGTAATTAAAAAAGAATCCGCCCAACCTCCTAGGACCTATTGGAAAGAAGCGAGAGATAGAGATTGGTTTCCAGATCAAGCATACAGAGGCCGAGGCCGAGGAGAATATTACTCCAGAGGCCGAAGCTATAGAGGCTCTTACGGAGGGCGGGGCCGTGGTGGCAGAGGGCACACTCGAGAGTATCCTCAGTACAGGGACACTAAGCCTCGCACAGAGCATGTGCCCTCAGGACCTCTCAGACAGCGAGAGGAAAGTGAAACTCGCAGTGAGAGCTCCGATTTTGAAGTTGTTCCCAAAAGAAGACGACAGCGAGGTTCCGAGACTGACACCGACAGTGAAATTCATGAAAGTGCAAGTGACAAGGACAGTTCAAGCAAAGGAAAGTTTCCCAAAAGAGAAGACCGGTCTGAAAACAAAAAACTTGTAAAGCCTCAATCTTCTTACAAGCCTGAAAATCATGTCCGAATAGATAATAGACCTCTAGACAAACCGTACATAAGGGATGATGACAAATCTAAACCAGGCTTCCTTCCTAAAGGAGAGCCCACCAGGCGAGGCAGAGGGGGGACATTCAGACGCGGTGGGAGGGACCCTGGAGGACGCCCCTCGCGCCCTACCACCTTACGGAGACCTGCCTATCGGGAAAATCAGTGGAACCCAAGGCAGGCAGAAGCTCCTAAACCAGATGATGGAGAGCCACCAAGAAGACATGAGCAATTTATTCCTATACCAGCTGATAAGCGACCTCCAAAATTTGAGCGAAAATTTGACCCAACTAGAGAGAGGCCTCGAAGGCAGCGTCCTACCCGACCACCCAGGCAAGATAAGCCTCCTCGATTTAGACGGCTCAGAGAGAGGGAGGCGGTCTCAAAAACCAATGAGGTGGCAGTGCCCACAAATGGCACAGTGAGTAACGTGGTTCAAGAACCAGTGAGTACTGCTGGGGATGTTTCTGGGAATAAGACTCCAGACTTGTCTAACCAGAACTCTTCAGATCAGGCAAACGAAGAATGGGAAACAGCCTCAGAAAGCAGTGATTTCAATGAGAGGCGGGAGAGGGATGAAAAAAAACGCGCTGATTTGAATGCACAAGCTACTGTGAAGGCCGGAGAGACTGTTTCAGCCCCCAAAAGAGAAATAGCAAAGAGAAGTTTTTCTAGTCAAAGACCTGGCGTGGACCGCCAGAATCGGCGTGGCAACGGAGGTCCACCCAAATCTGGGAGGAATTTCTCAGGTCCTAGAAATGAAAGAAGAAGTGGCCCACCATCCAAAAGTGGGAAGCGAGGGTGAGTCCTTTGTTTCACATATAATTACTTTTGTGCCTTTAAAGAGACACAAGGTAGACTTCTTGGTTGAACTGTGCAAAGGAGCCAGTCTAGGTAGAGGACCACACATTGTTCTCCCCAATTATCTTTTCTGTTCTCCAAGTGTAATGGGTGCTTGAAGGAGAGAGTTAATGTCCCTCAGGAGTCTCTGCCTGCCTGGTGTCCAGTAGGGGCCTTCTAGGAATTTGTAGCTTTGGGAAAATTTATGCACCTGGGGCTGCATCTGTACAACGTTCTCCGTTTTAGTAAGTCCTCTTACTGATGAGTAGCCCACCTTTTTCTTTGTTTCTCATTCGCTGTGGTGCTCACAAGTGTCTTCTGGACTTAAATTAAAATGTTATAATAACTATAGACTATATCACTTTGTACTGGTTTATAGATAGTGAATGTTGAGCTTAAGGATAAATTATATTCCCCCTCTAGCTGCAAGCCTACAATAAATGTTGCAGCTAGAGAGAAACCCAGAAAGCAAAGTCCTGCCCAAACACCAAGGCCACCACTAACATAAATACCAGGTTATTGGATTTTTTTAAAAGAATTTTTCTAAACTGTGCTAAACTTAATCTATTCTTTTAAATATTAAAATGTTGGTTAGTTATTGATTTCTTTGGTATTAGAAAAATAAATAAATCTAGGCCTGGCAAGTTGCATATACTTAGCATTTCATCCATCAATGAACATTTTTGCTTTCTAATAATTTAGAAAAAGTTCCAGGGAGATAATCCAACTAGTTGTGTTTCTTGGGAATCTGCTTAACAAAAATTTGAACATCCTTTTGTAAGGTCCAAAAGAAAAGGATAACATATATTACAATAACTTTGCAGTTATTGACTATACCTTAACTATTAGAAGTTTGAGTAATACTTAAGATATTCTTGTGGATTTCTAAGCAATGTAGATTTCAACTACTTAGCAAGAGTTTAGTGCCATGTAAATGCTAACAATGCTGAACCTGCAGAAACAGCAGTTGCACCTTGTAGTTAAAATGAATGGTGTAAGAGTCCCGTTTAGAAGACAAGTGCCTATTTTTCAGATGTTGGAGGTCATGCTTGTGTTAGGCATTAACCCTAACTTAACTCTGGTGCCGAGTCACATGTAGAAATTTTTTGGTATTTGCAACCATAGTAAAACAAAGACTTATATTTTTGATATTTATTTTATATATTTAAATGCCATTTAACAAAGAAAAATCAACCAAAAAAATGCATGTCATAGGTTTGCCATCACTGCTATAGGCTATGATGAAAATGGAATTTTAAGCCCATCTTCTCTAGCCTGTTTTCATAAAATATTTATAAAATGAACCAAGATTAAATTTATCTGTTGGGAAACAAAAACTTTAGAAATACATTTGTTTTATGAAGTGAATTGTTTCCATATAAAAGTGTTTTTTAACGTGTTTACATTAATGTATAAATCTGATTAAACTTTTAAAAAAACATGGTATAAACATAGAAAGCTTTTCTAAATTTTTTTTCATAGGCTGCCCTCTTGTGGAAAAGAGATGTAATGCCCTAGCTGGTTGTTCAGTGGTTAGAGCAGAGGTGGGCAAACTTTTTGACTCGAGGGCCACAATGGGTTCTTAAACTGGACCGGAGGGCCGGAACAAAAGCATGGATGGAGTGTTTGTGTGAACTAATATAAATTCAAAGTAAACATCATTACCTAAAAGGGTATGGTCTTTTTTTTTTTTTTTTAATTTTTTTCATTTCAAATGGGCCGGATCCGGCCCACGGGCTGTAGTTTGCCCACGGCTGGGTTAGAGCATCAACCTGTGGACTGAAGGGTTCCAGGTTCGATTTCAGTCAAGGACACATGCTCGAGTTGCGGGCTCAATCCCCAGTAGAGGGTGTGCAGGAGGCAGCTGATCGATGATTCTCTCTTATCAGTGATGTTTCTATCTCTCCCTCCTCTCAGATCAATAAAAATATATTTTTAAAAAAGAAAAGATCCAGTAGTGAATACTTTGTACTAGCTTGGGTTACAGATTTTCTGCTATAAAGTGTTGCTTAGCTCATTTATTTATAAAATGATAAACAAATAGATACATAAGAACCTTCAGGATTCTCTAATTTAATTGCTGGGAAGAACAACCCTAGTCCATCTCCTTTACTGGGAAGCTCAGTTTTAGTGAAGTTGTTTTCAACTAAAGCCACTAAGGCTTGTTGGTTTTGAGCTAAGGTCTTTTATCCCACTGTTATTTCTTCTTAGACTAAACTTTACAATTGCCAGTGAAGGATTCCCTACCCGAGTGTGGCGGTGGTAATATCTCAAATTATTATTTTGTAGGCCATTTGATGACCAGTCTGCAGGCACAACTGGTGTTGATCCTGTCAATGGCAGCTCTGCACACCACCAGGAAGGAACACCTAATGGAACAGGACAAAAGAACTCCAAAGATTCTGCAGGGAAAAAAAGAGAAGACCCAAAACCAGGCCCTAAGAAACCCAAAGAGAAAGTAGATGCACTGTCACAATTTGATCTCAACAATTATGCAAGTATGTCTTAGGTTCTATTTACTTATTTTATTTATTTACCTATCTGTCTGTCTGTTTGCTGCATTGAGTTGGATGCTATACATAAAAAAGTTATCAAAGAAGGAAAGAGTTGACCTAAACAATAGAAGCTGAATATGAAGCACTGACTTAACTTGAACTAAAATAATAACTGTATACATGTGCTGTCTTAAATGAAAGAAATGCTAAACCTCATTGAGTTGTGACCTTAATGAGATAGGTATCTAAGATATGGTAACTAGAGAATAAATGATAGTATGGAAGACTGTGTTGCTATGGATACTTTCAGAAAGCTATGGAGTGAAAGAATATTGGATGCAAAGGATGACAATAAGAGCATGTTTAATGAGGGAGTTAAGGAATTAGACACTTAGGTGAAAATGAGCTATTTGTCATTCACTCAAATGAAACTTAGACTGGAAAAACTGAATAAAATGGAGAGATTTACTAGGTTAAGATCTGATCTATTTTAATTTTTTTAATATTGCTTAATGAATCTAGATGTCTTACATTCACTGGGATATATGATAATTTTAATAAGACAGCTAGAATAATTCTTAATAGGACAATGAGTGGAGTCATTCATGTGATGGGTTATGATATGTGTGCATCCATGCCACTTGTTTTTAACAAGTACACATTGTGACAATAGTCTGTGTAAAATAGAGGCATTAAGAGTCATAAGATCAGGTTGGCTAGTCAACTTCACCTAGCAAATGGGCATCTCAGAGCTTACTGTATCCTCTGAAAAAGATAAACAGCAATACCCACCTCTTAAGAAAGGCTAGATGCAAATGAGGTAAAGTGCTATATAGATTTTTACAGCATAATACAAATCTCAGTCTGGGAGAGGTAGAGATTAAAGTGATTTGACTAGATAATAGGGTAATATTTATTTTTAAAAAACACATTACCACTGTATTGCTTAAGGAAAAACTACATTGTTCAAAGCAGATAATTTTAGAACTTTTATTTTTCCTCTAGAGAGGAAGGGAGAAGGGGAAAGAGAAACATCAATGATGAGACAGAATCAGTGATGGGCTGACTCTCTCATGGCCCCTCCTGGGGCTCAAGCCCACAGCTTGGGCTTGTGTCCTGACCAGGGAGCAAACCGTGTTGTCCTGGTTCATAGGTCCACGCTCAACTACTAAGCCACACCGTCTGGGCAGGACTTTTATTTTTAACCTTGTTTATGAAATCTTTTCAAATCTTACTAATGAATGGACATCTTATGGCGTGGGTAATGGATTACACTATGAGTTACAGGAAGAACTAGACCTTTGCCTTATCTTTCTTTTTTAATCACTACTGGATGAGCATTTCTATGTATCTTTTCTATTGGGGGGAAAAATATTTTAAATCTTCTTCCATACCCACAGGTGTTGTTATAATTGATGACCATCCGGAAGTAACGGTAGTTGAAGACCCACAGTCAAATTTGAATGATGATGGTTTTACTGAAGTGGTATCCAAAAAACAACAAAAACGTTTACAGGATGAGGAACGCCGGAAGAAGGAAGAACAGATCATACAGGTTCAGTGTTCCAGCTTTTTGCTAGTTGTTCAGGTTGTTGCTCAAAACATGTTAGCAAATAATCAAGGTTTCTGTCTACCTGGAAAGTCAAGGCTGGATTTATTACTCAGTGTTGAGAGTGACTGGATTTTCACAACTTTAAACTGTTTTAACCAGTATTGAGATAAATTTTAAATAGAATATAATCACTGTTAAGCTTAGTGTATACCAGTGGTTCCCAACCTTCCTAATGCCGCGGCCCTTTAATATAGTTCCTCAAGTTGTGGTGACCCCCAGTTTCATTGTTACAAAGTGAACATAATTAAAGCATAGTGATTAATCATAAAAACAATATGTGATTATATATGTGTTTTTCGATGGTCTTAGGCGACCCCTGTGTAAGGGTTGTTTGACCCGCAAAGGGGTCGCGACCCACGGGTTGAGAACCACTGGTGTAGACCCTTACTTTAGTAACATATTTTATGTTCCAGTACTAGTTGTCTTGTTTGCTTCATCTTGTCAGCATTAACATTAAATTATCTTGGAAACCTAGTAAACGCAACTGTCATGATCTAAAATTGCAGGTACTTGACTTAGAAAGTTTGAGTTGTAATCTAAATTAGTTCACTTATTAACACACAAAATGAATAAGTTATTCTATTTAAATCACCCCAAATACCCCTTTTGATAAATGCTGACACAGATAAAAATAAGTTGAACACATGAATTATAGTGATAAAGACCTCTAGCAGATGAGAGAGCTTAAAATCGAGACACTATAAAAATTGTATGTGGATAGTAATACTGAGTTCAATTGGACATGACCTTTACAACTAGATAATTTCAGAAGTCATTTGTTAGTTATTATCTTTGGGATGGTGGAATTAATAATGCATATATCCTGTGTAGCATAGTGCCCCAATAACAACTAAAATACAGAACAACTATCATCCAGAACTGCGGGAAAGCTGGCTTAGTGGAAGTACTACAACTAGAGAGGTAAAGAAGAAAGCACATTGAAACTGGTACAAGGTACAGAGGCGCAGAATGCGCTGACACCTGGGTGTGCCACTTTTTTAATTGGGAGGAAGATACAAGCTCCCTCTCGCTCTGAGCTCCAGTGCCGGGTGAGACTCTGGGGGATCCAGACATATACGGGAAGAAACTGGACTGTCTGGCATCGGGGCAGGAACACAGAGGCGTCTTTCCTCCAGAGGGAGGTGCTCACAACGGTCATTGTTACTGTGCTGGGACTTCCCTGGTGCAGGGCTGACTGGCAGCTATTGCTTTTTGCACCATCCTGAAGATTCCCTGAGACCCCTACCCCACCCAAGCTGTGGGCAGTGGATTTTGCATATGAATGGCCTGCCCTTTCTCAGCCTAAAACCTGTGAAACAAGCTGCAGCTTGGTCATGGAGCCCCAAAGCTATCAAAAGAAGGCCCAAGGCTGGTACCAGCATCAGCCTGCCTTCCTTTACAGCTGTGCCTGGTCTGGGCACTACCAAATCCAATACAAAGAGGAGGAATCTGCAGATCTCTCTGTAGCTCCAGGGTGGCCCCAGGCAGTGGTTGACTGCATCTCCTTAGAGATCCAAGAACCAGTGTACCTGGTGGTCAGTGTGAGACCATACCAGATTACAATTCTTCACATCCATAACTGACACACTCAAGAGGCAGGCTCAGTGAGCACCAAAGCCCCACTGAAGCAAGTCCTGCCCCATAAGGGTGTCTTCTGCACAGCAGCTCTTCCATTGTAGACACAGCTGGTCATCACAGCCAATTGGCCTGGAGGTCAATTCCCCCCAGTGATACCAAAAGCAATCAAGGGTTAACTACAACAAAAAATGAAGAACATCATATCTACCATCAAGAATACACGGGAAGGAATTAAAAGTAGGTTGGATGAAGCAGAGGATCAAAACAGTGATTTTGGAGAAAAAGTAGTGGGAGAGGACATTTGGAGAAGAAAAACATAATGAAAAAGAATGAGGATGGTTTAGGAAAACTTGGAACAACCTGGAATGAAATAACATCTGCATCATAGTGGTATCAGAAGGAGGAGACACTGAGCAAATGATCAAGAACCTATTTTATGAATAATAACGGAAACTTTCCCTAAACTGGTGAAGGAAAAAGATGCACAAGAACAGGAATCACAGAGTCCCAAATAAGATGAACCCAAAGAGGCCCACAAGACACAAGATCATTTAAATGATAAATAGCAAATACAAAGAGAGAATATTAAAAGCAGCAAGAGAAAAACAGTTACCTACAAGGTTGTACCCATACGACTGTCAGCTGATTTCTCAACAGAAACTATGAAGGCCAGAAGGGAGTGGCAAGAAATATTCAAAGCGATGAATAGCAAGAACCTACAACCAAGGTGACTCTACCAAGCAAAGCTATCATTTAGAACTGGAGGTCAAATAAAAGGCTTCACAGGCAAGGAAAAGCTAAAGGAGCTCATCACCACCAAACCAGTATTATATGAAATGCTGAAGGGTATCCTATCTAATAAAGGGGGAATATGTAAAGTGGCCATCACACCATCACAAAGATGGTGGCACCAATAGCCACAAGAAGGTGGTGCCCAGTCCCCTCAGCCCTGCCAGAGTCCTCCAGTCCTTTCAGCCCTTCCAGGGGAGGTGGGGCAGGCACACAGTGCAGCTGGGCTGGCCTAAGGCACAAGCAAGCCTCGGATGTCGGCTGCCCAGGGCTGTCCGAGGCTTGCGCTGCCGGCAGTGGCAGCAGCAGAAGTGTGATGGGGGCGTCCCCTTCCCCTGGTCACTGGGTTGCCTGGCGGCCCTGAGGGCTCCCAGACTATGAGAGGGGACAGGCCAGGCTGAGGGACACCCCCTCTAGTGCATGAATTTTCATGCACTGGGCTTCTAGTTCTTTAAGAAGAGGAAGATGAAAAGGGTCAAGATGAATTATGAACAACAAAATCTCTATCAACAAGTGAATCTAAAATTCAAATGAATAAAAAATCTGATGAACAGAATAAACTGGTGAGAGTAATAGAATCAAGGGCATGGAAATGGAGCGGACTGACAATTCTGGGGGGAAGGAGGTGTGGGAAGAGATTGAACAAAGATCTTACATGCATGTACCTATGGTATGCAGTACCTACTGACACAGGCAGTGGGGTGGGGTGGGAACCGGATGGAGGGGAGCTATGGGGGGATAAAAGAGGGACATCTGTAATGATCTGAACAATAAAGATTAATATATATATATATGTATGTATATATATATATATATATATATGAAAATGCAAAATATAAAAGGATGTATAATACATTTGTCTTTTATTCCCAATCACATCCTGGCTTCTCATATTTAAAATCTCATGAGCAGCTTTGACATTTTTGCTCTGTGAAGTATCTATTTTGAATAGTTAATGGAGCTAAATTAGCAGTAGGTAGCTTTGTTAGAAATCATATTTATGAACTGTTACTTTTAGCTGTTAATGACATTATTTATTTTTACCAATTTTTTAAGATCTGGAACAAAAAGAATGCCAGTGAGAAAGGAAGAAGTCAGACTTCTAAGCTTCCTCCAAGATTTGCCAAAAAACAATCTACTGGGACCCAGCAAGCCCAGTCTCCAGCTCCAGCCTCAGCCCCAGGTCCAACTTCAACCTTGCCTTCAGGTCCAGTTTTAGCCTCACCCTCGGCCACAGCTGTATCTGCATCTCCAGTCCTAACTTCAACTTCCACTCCACTCCCAACTCCAGCGTCAGCTCCTACTCCAGCCTCCACTTCAGCTCCAACCTCTTCTTCAGTTCCAGCTCCAACCCCAATCCTTGCCTCAGCTTCAAATCCAGCCACTGTCCCCATTCTTGCCTCAGCCTCAATCCCCATTCTTGCTTCAGCCCTACCACCAACTTCAGCAACACCTCCAGCTAGCTCAGCCCCAACAGTCCCAGCCAGTTCGGCCCCAACTGCCCCAGCCAGTTCGGCCCCAGTCCCAACCCCAGTCTCACTTCCAACCCCAGCCCTTGTCACAGTCACAATCCCAGGCCCCACTGCCCCAGCCCAAACTCAGGGACAGACTCACAAACCAGTCCAGAGTCCCTTGCAGACTACAGCACAGTCTTCAAAACAGCCACCACCTTCAGTTAGACTGCCTTCAGCTCAAACACCCAATGGCACAGATTATGCAGCCACAGGAAAATCCATCCAGGCCTCACAGTCACATGGCACTCTTACAGCTGAATTATGGGATAACAAGGTGGCCCCACCCACTGTGCTGAATGATATCTCTAAGAAATGTAAGTGCAACAGAAGTGAGGGCTTGGGAATATTGGGGTTTGTTTTTACTTTGGTTTATATGTTCAGTATGGGGTTTTTTTTAGCCTTTTCTTTAGTAGGAAGCAGTTAAAGTAATCTTAACTTCCTTTCTTAAAACCTTTGGTTCTAAATCAAAGGTGTTACATTTTTAATAGCCATATTTTATATGTTGATAAAAGCAATACACAATGGGAACTTATATTTATTTTGGTATGCAAGAATCTCTGAGTGTGGTGTGAAAAGTAATTGTTTTATTGTTTAGTTACTATTAAATAAAGGGTTATAAAGATTGGATTAATAGCCTCTCAATTTTGGTGTTCACATTTCCTGTGGCTTCTTCTCTTCAGTAGGGCCCATTAGTCCACCACAGCCACCTTCCGTCAGTGCCTGGAATAAGCCTCTAACATCGTTTGGATCAGCTACTTCATCAGAGGTAGGAATAGACTTGCTAATGGTCTTGGTGGGGTTACTGGGGCAGAGCTTCCTTAAAACAGTTTCTCAGATTTCAGCATGCATCAGAATTCTGTGTCGTCTAGCTTTCTGCTTATTCATCTTTTGTCACTGTTCCTAACTTGCTGTGTTCCAGCTGTTTTAGCCTTTTTTATTCTTGACCTTCTACTAGGTGTTTGCTCTGCCAGAAACACTTTCAGTATGACCTCCTGGGGTCTTTCTCCATCCACCAATCTAAAATGGCTTCACCATATTTTAATTTTTGTGTATTGCTTATCTGACTTTTCAGTTTTCTATTTTCTCTATCCATTATAATGCAAGGTCTCCGAGTTAGATTTTGTCTCTGCATCACTGCCTAGCACACAGAAAGTGCAACAAAAATGAGTATATCGTTTTATTTTCACAGCACGCTTAGAAGTAGGCAACACTGGTATTGCTATCTTCTTTCCCCCATTCATTCGTCTGTTTATTTCTTGCTGGTAGTGTCTTTCTGTGTTTGTTGCTTTTACATTTCTTTTAAGTGATGAAAGAACTTGAGGCTGTGATGGCCTATGGTTACACTCATGACACAAAAATCAGGACTTTAAAAACTTAAGTCTTGCCCTAACTCAGTGATGGCGAACCTTTTGAGCTTGGCGTGTCAGCATTTTGGAAAAACCCTAACTTAACTCTGGTGCCGTGTCACATATAGAAATTTTTTGATAATTGCAACCATAGTAAAACAAAGATTTATATTTTGACATTTATTTCATATATTTAAATGCCATTTAACAAAGAAAAATCAACCAAAAAAGTGAGTTCGCTTGTCACCTCTGACATGCGTGTAATAGGTTCACCATCACTGCCCTAGCTGGTTTGGCTTAGTGGCTAGTGTCGGCCTGGGGACCAAAGGGTCCTGGATTTGATTTCAGTCAAGAGCACATGCCCAGGTTGTGGGCTTGATCCCCAGTAGGGGGTGGGCATGCAGGAGGCAGCCAGTCAATGATTCATCATTGATGTTTCTCTCTCTCTCTCTCTCAAACTCTCCCTTCCTCTCTGAAATTAAAAACAAAAAAATTAAGTCTTGTCCTAGTTTTCATTTTATTAGTTGTTTTCTAATACATACAAATCATTGTGTTTAAGGGAAGGTTCTCTTAAAACAATCAATGGCAGTTAATGTCAGTTAATATGTGGGTTACTTAAGCTTCCTTCTATTTAAAATATGTGGGGCTACATAAATCATGCAATCAAATCTGAACTCTGTTTGATAGCAAGTTTTTAAATATTCTATTACTAGGGAACAAAGAATGGTCAAGAAAGTGGAGTTGAAATTGGAATTGACACAATTCAGTTTGGTGCTCCAGCTTCAAATGGGAACGAAAATGAAATTGTTCCTGTGCTTTCGGAAAAAACTGACAAAATTCCTGAACCTAAAGAGCAACGGCAGAAGCAGCCACGGGCAGGCCCCATCAAAGCCCAAAAGGTAAACACAATTCATACTCCAGGGGTCCTTGTATAAAAGCCACTAACATTTATGAGAGCAAATAACAGTTTTAAGTTTTGTATTCAATGAATGCTTTTGATCATGATCCTTTTGTGTTTGTAAACATTGACTTTAGCTTCCAGATTTGAGTCCAGTAGAAAACAAAGAACATAAACCTGGTCCTATTGGAAAGGAACGCTCATTAAAAAATAGAAAAGTAAAAGATGCCCAACAGGTGGAGCCAGAAGGACAAGAGAAACCAAGCCCTGCTGCAGTCAGAAGTGTAGACCCGGGGACAGCAAAGGAAACCAAAGCCGCTTCAGAAATGTCTACTGAAATAGGAACGATGATCTCAGTGTCATCCACAGAATATGCCACTAATGTGAAGGTGAGCAGCATCCAGAGATCCCCAGTTCAGCTGATGCAAATCATGTCTAAAACAACAACCTTACACTTTTGTTTGTTTGTTTTTTGCTTGAGACATACAGCACTATAGACTATGGGTTACTATTACTAGAGATTTTATTTCATGGTGTGCATGTGTGATCTAAAGAAATTCCTTGCAATAAATTATTTCCTTTTTTGTGGAAATTTACTCTTAATTCTGTACCATTCGGTTGTTTAAAGTGAAAAATGCCTACATAAGATTAAGATGCTTTTTATTTGGGTTTGTAGACTTTGAAAAAGTTTCTCTCCATTACTTTTGTTAGTGGAGTTAACAGTGGAGCTTTATTTTGCCCACTCATGAGATTTTGAAGTCAGGAAATAAGGCAAAGTTTAGTAACCCCAGTATAGCCAATTTTTTTCCAGGGTTGGAACAATCACTATTGCATTGATTAAGCCCCAGAGGAAGTAGTTGACTTGTGCTTAGGGACCACATTGAGTTAAAGATAGATTTTTTGAAAACTCATTAAGGCAAATTCCACTGAGTAACCTAAAGGAGCTAACACTTGTGAGAATAGCAAATTTATGTCTGCCATTCCAGGATGTGTATTTATTGAGAAGAAAGAGAGATGGACTCTTTCATATTAATTTGAGTATCTTTCTCTTAAAAGCTCATGTGATTTAGTTCTACCACATTTAAGGAAGAGTTTCATGATAATAAGCAAGAGTTTATCCTAAAACAGTGAATTGCGACAGCTAAGATCTTGACATTCATTTACTTACTTTTATTTTGAAGAGAATAAAAGAGTTGCAAGTAATCTATAGATTGTGAGAACCACACAAAGAATTCTTTTAGGAATCCACAGAAATTAAATCTTTAGTACTGATGACAACCTCCCAGTATTGTGCAGTGCATTTTTAAAAATGCACAGGATCCAAACAGAAGTGGAAATGTTATTATTTCAGCAGTGGTTCTCTGTTTTATCCCACTGTTGGTTTTTAAGTTAAGATTTGGGAGAATTCAGTCTTAAGGTTTGTCCTCCTATTGCTTTCTTCCGAAACAACTTTACAACTGGTAGGCTGTAATTAGAAAGTGACTCATTAATTCAGTTTAAAATCTATTTTTCTCTATTACTACTCCACAGGAGTCTGTAACAGACTACACTACACCTTCTTCTTCTCTGCCTAACACTGTGGCTACTAATAATGCAAAGATGGAGGATACTTTGGTTAATAATGTAAGTAATCAACTTGTGGTGTGGCAAGTTTGGATAGAAACCTGGCTGTTATACGTACTATATGGCCAATATTTAACTTTTCTCAGGGGACAAGTTAATAGCAAATTTGTATTTAGGAGCACTGTAATGTAATTAGCAAAAATAATAAAAGTAGAGTTTTTGTTTTTCCTCCTAAAAGTTGTCCGCTTTCCATTTAGGATCCAGGCCTTTGCTGCTTCGGCTTAGTGTCGTCAGGACTAGTCCATTACCCTGGTTTTGATAAGAAGTTTGGTTCTTAGCTATCACATACTTCAGTGTTTTATTTTTGTTGGTAATTTTGTTCTTAAATGAAACCATTTTATGATTCATGAAAGCTCACTCAGTAAAAACACAATGTCACCAGAGATTCAGGTACTTCCTTTTTGAATTTGAAAAAAATTATACCAGGCCTTAATAGCAACATTCCTGTTGTGAAGACTGGGCTATAATGTATATGTGCTTCAACAACTTTTAAATGCTTCATTAAAAGGTGATAAGTCATGTAAATTTGGCTCTGGTTTCTCAGAGCAACCATGTTATAATTCAAGATTGTGTTACAAGTCATCATAGTCCATCATTTTGACTAGTTCACTGACTGAAAAATTGAACGGCGAGCCCAACAAAGTTAGGTGACCTGCTGTGGTAGAGAGCATTTTAGGAGTTACATGTGAGGCCCTTGTTTTGGAGGGCACAGATGGTGGAAATTTGGTCAGCTGCTTTAAATGTCATCCCGTATAATAAGCAAAGGCATATTCTTTTCAAAAAATACCCTTTATAGATATATTTAAAAGTCGTTCACACAGGGCTTTAACTCTATCATTTTGAGAATAAAAATCTTGATTATGTTTTGGTACAAAGTTTTTCTTATACTTTCTGTTCCCTCTAGCATCAAGCTAGAGTCAGAGAGGTGACATGCATTAGAGACCATTTAATCCAACTTTGTGGTCCAACTGAAAGGCTCTTGCAATGTAGCTGAATGCGTCACACGTTTTCTCTTTGTGATAGGAGTGCACTTTAGGAGCTGGTTAATGTAATTTGTCCAAATTTAGATCTTACAAAACTTCATTTCATAGGCCAAACCTTTCCCCTGACCTTTTGGAGAAAGGTTGAAATCTACTTAACTTCCTGTAGGAAGTAATGGAAAACTTGGGAAGGACAAAAAGACTTCCTGGCAAATTGCTCACTATGTAGATTATCAAATAATCAGTAACATATCAGTAAAGTTAATTGTACTTTAATTGTGGTGTCTTCTCAGTTTAAAAAACAGAGTATTTCTTAAATGTTACTTTTTCAAGAAAGTATATAATGCTTTTCTGTCAAATCCTCTAAAAATGACTGAAAATATTCATATGAGCATTTTGTTGGTTTCCATGTGGTTTGCTAGGCTAATGAACATGGTGAGTTGTGCACAGAAACAACTGAGGGGAAGAGACCCGATCTTGTGTATCAGTGAATAATCTGCGTTTGATTTTAGCAATTTATCAAGAGTACGTTTGGAAACAGGAAGATCAGGTTGGGTCACGGAGCATCATAAGTGGTCACCAGTTTGGAATCATTCCATAGCATTGCTTATTTGTGCCAAGTATGGTGGTGATTTTGAATTTAGTTAATATAGTGTTAAAAATAATGTCCAAAGTTTAGTTCCTTTTGAAATGTTTTTGTTTTCTTCATTAGTTTGTTTGGTTGTTCTATTTTATGGTAGGATTTCTGTCTTTTTAAAAATTATACTTAAAAGAGGCTTATTTCTCTTATTGAAGCTTAATATACTTTTTTAGGATCTTAGTTGATATTTATTGGTTAGTGTTACCTAATAATACAGTTGTTTTGAATGTCTTGAAGATATAAATGCTGGTGATGATTTTGATTATTATAGCACAGCTCATCTCCAGTAACTAGTCTGTGGTATCAGAATCTCCATAGTGTCACAAAGTGATTATCTGGCACCCTAGTATCTCAGTCATTGTACCTGAACAACTGAGGGAACCATCAAAATCAATCATGCAATAAATAGTACATCATAAAAAATCTCAAGACCCAGGGACTTAGAAGGGGAAAAAAAGATATGGGTAGTGAGTCTCTAATATCTTCAGGCATTTAACAATATTTGCCGTAATTGTGTCATTAGTATATATTATATAACAAAGCAATTTGTTTAGTGTAATGGGGGAAGCAATATTCCATATTTTCCTTCCAATATTCCTTTTGTTCTTGAATATAGTTGACAGAAAGTTTGACTATTTCAGGAAAGAGATTTATTTCTTAAATGTATTATATTTATCATGTTGAATGCTTCTGATAGAACCTGTAAATCCCATAAATGGGGGAAATTGTATTCCCTTAAAGCTTTGCTGCATAGTGTATGGTCCAGGGACCAGCAGCCGTAGCATCACCTGGGAACTTGTTTGAAATGCAAAATTTCAGGCCTTGCTCCAGACCAGCTGAATCAAGATCTGCATTTTAACAACATCCTCAGATGATTTGTATCTACATTAAAATATGAGAAGCACTGCCATCAAGGGTATGCCTTATATTTGGGACAGGCTCTTTCAATTCATGCATAAAACAGCAGAAAATATTTCTCTTCAGAAGTTTTATCTAAGATGTCCAAAATTATCAATGACTATAAACACAGTCTAAGTAATCGAATATTCATGTTGGCTCTGATGAAAAATAGAACACCCTTAGAGTATGATAGCATTAACTGGGCTTTGGTAGCAGACCCAGTTAGTTAGATTATGATATGTGTTGCCTGCCTTTTCAGGTGCCCCTGCCCAACACCCTTCCCCTCCCTAAGAGGGAGACTATACAACAGAGCTCCAGCCTAACTTCAGTTCCTCCCACTACTTTCAGCCTCACCTTCAAGGTATGTACCATATCCATCTCTAAAGGTCCATGATTGTTGCATGCAAGGGGGACATACGTTAATACTATTCTCTTGGGTTTTTTACTAGTTTTGTGTGGTAAGCAACAATGCTAAGCCGAGGAAATGATGTGATGTCAAATTACACCTTAAACTTTTATTAGCTTCTAATACCCTTAGCAGCAACTTGCTATCCTCTCTAAAGTAAGGCCTATCATGCTTGTGAATTTGGTCTTAAAATTACAGGAGAGTAAGTCTCATGTGAATTGAATGAAAGCATTATAGCAGTTAGAACATTTTATGAAGCAGTAATTATGCAAGTGATTTAGAATTGATTGTTGGATAATTTTTCAATAAGAGGGCAAAAGATTTTGGACAACACGTGCTTTTTGATGTCAAGAAGTTTAGGCTTCTTTTGTTTGTTTTTTAATCTCTTTATAATGTTGAGCTGTGTTATTAATGCTTTGTTATATTTGAGTTGTTTGAGAGCATTTTCAAAGAGTTCACCTCAAGATTAGTCAATGGTTAAAAAAATGCAGACATAGAATTAAGTGAGGGGTTTTTAAACGCAGGTATTCTATGTGTAATAGCTGGACCTCCTAATGTGGCTCTGGTTGTCAATGAATCTTTCTGATGGTCGTCAGGAGTGGAAACGAAATTGTTTCACAATGTGGACAGTGTTCACGTTTAGACTCTTTCTGTTTGAGTCTCCAGCCTCCTGACCACTTGACCCTTTGCCCCCCAACTTGTGTGTAAGAGGCTTAATGAGTGTCGGCTGAGACTATAAAATTTGTGCTGTTCGTTCTTCTCCCAGTTCTTACTACTGACTGCCAAATCCTATTCCACTTGAACGACTGTCTCAGTCTGTTTCATCTTATGTATTTATATTATTTAAGGAAGTAGTCTAATGCCACATAAATAAGTATAATGCCATTAATTATTCTTTAGGCCATTGTTAATTCTTCAGAAAAACCCTTCAACATTGCCTTTTACTCAGTGTTTTTAACACTCCAAGAAAAAATAGTATAATTTTAATTACTTTAAATTTCATTAACTTAAAATTTCCTCTTTATTTGTACTTCTGACATCCTTCTGGGTAACATATAAGGTATAGAAAAATTCTGTTATGTGGGTATTATATACACTATATTTATTGAGGGGAAAGGTGAATTTCCTAGAATTTCCAAAATTGTAATCTGAATTTTCTTGCTGCTTAAGAAATGAAATAGCCTGGCTGGTGTGGCTCAGTGGTTGATGTTGGCCCATGAACCAGGAGGTCACGGTTTGATTCCTGGTCAGGGCACATGCCCAGATTGCAGGCTTGATCTCCAGTAGTGGGTGTGCGGGGGACAACCGATCAATGATTCTCATCATTGGTGTTTCTATCTCTCCCTCTACCTTCCTCTCTGAAATCAATTTTTTAAAAAAAAAAAAGAAATGAAGCCAAATGTATGTGATCTACATATATTATGCAAGTTTGATTAGACATGACTTAATGTGTTTTCACCACAACAAAACTGGTATAAAAGACATTGCTCTGTATTAAAAAATCTCTAAACCATAAAAATCTCAGATTGCAAATTGCATTATGTTTAATTTCATAAGTTATTTTTAAACCCACCCTCCCCACAAAAAAAGAAAACACACAAAAAACCACTCTTGTTTTAAAATAAAACACATGTGAAACCAAAGTGATAGTGAAAAAACTCAAGCAAATATGAATTATCTTATATTTCAAATTTATGGAGATGACATTAGTCATTAAGAAAAGGTTAAATTACATATAGTGTGTGTTTTAACAGAAAAGCGGGGAGGCATGTAATTCTCAAATTCTCACAATTAAAATAAGGTTACAGTTTTAAAAGTTGGTACTTGAAGAACTACAAGCTTCTTAGCAGTACTATAAAAAAATCTTATTAAAAAAATCCTCTCATGTGAATCATTGCAACTGAATTTTGTGTATTATCTTGGGTTTTCCTTTTGGCCCACCCAATATCTCGACTACTAAAACTAAAAATGTCAAAACCTATGTGTTTCCTCCCTGTTCAAATAGCTTTAGGATAGTGAGAATCTGCATCTGTTCTCTCCAGCTCTGTGGCCATCAGCCCCTGTGGTTAAAATCACTGGGCACTGGATGTGGCTGATCCAAGTTCAAGTCCAGTGTGTGTTTCAGTATAAAATAAAATAGACACTGGGTCTGACAGGTTAATATTTTTTAAAACATTAAAACATCTCAACTTTTATGGTGATTATACGTTTTTATGTTGTGTCGAATAAATGTTATCAAAATTAGAATTACCTCACCCTGACCGGTTTGGCTCAGTGGATAGAGCGTGGCCTGCGGACTGAAGGGTCCCAGGTTCAGTTCCGGTCAAGGGCATGTACCTAGGTTGCGGGCACATCCCCAGTAGGGGGTGTGCAGGAGGCAGCTGATCGATGTTTCTCTCTCATCGATGTTTCTAATTCTCTATCCTTCTCCCTTCCACTATGTAAAAAATCAATAAAATATATATATATTTTTTAATTAGAATTACCTCTTTATTTTTTAAAATACAACTACTAAACTTTATATATGTGGCTTACATTTATATGTCTGTTGAACAGCAGTGCTCTAGAGAGATTGAATATAGATTGAAATAAGACCTCTTTCTTCCTTTTAAGAAACTAGGAGACGACTGCTAAAATCAGTAGCCCCAAAGCCAAATAGGGCAGTCAGTACCTGAAACGCCCAAGGAGGCTTTGATGTGAAACAGGTATCTCTGCTGCACTCAAGCCTAAACCTGTCTACTTACATTAACTTGTCAAACGCTATGAGCATAAAACAGCCAAACAAACGGTGCCTGTCATCTGCCATTTGAGAACTGCTGGCTTAAAAACAGAGTGT